TTTTGTTTCTTTATAAATTACTCAGTTTAAAGTATTCTTTTATATGCAACAAAAAATGGACTAATGCAGATGATAAAGGAATATTGTCTTGAGATGTTAATATTTTAATATTCCTTATAAACTTTTATAAATTTTAAGAGGCAGTTATACAATGTAGAATTTTCCTAATTTCCCTCTGATGTTAGTGTTCTTGGGAAAACAGTTTTGAGAAATACTTGGAACACAGAATTTTTGAAACATCATTCCAGATCAGTTTAAATAATAGATGTAGCATTAACTAACTCCTTAGTAACTAACTTATTTATTTATAAGATACTCCTGAAATTTGGGATAGCAGCCAGCTCATAATAAGAGAAAGCTACTCAAGCGTAAGCTAATAGGCAAAGCATTTTCATGATGGCCAATCTAGTCTCCAGATGTCAACTGTTATCACATTCAAGAACAGACAGACCATGTTAAAATATACAACAATAATAAAGAACTTATATAAAAAAATGCATATTTCTTTATAAAAAAGATTTTTTTTAAATGTGTGCAAAAAAATGATCCATGCTAAGCTATTCCACATGTTTATTTGGCTTTAAAACCTACCTTTTAGATTCCACAAAGAAAAGCCACTAATTTATTCAGAAATATTTATTGGTTATAACCTTTTCTGCAAATGTTTTCTGCTCTGTTATTGTATAACATGAGTCTTAAGCATTTTATCTAAATTTTCTGCTTGAATGTATATGTAAACTCTTAATGTGCCTAAATTTTTTTAGCAATTTTTTCTTGCCTTTAATTCCAAAGCAACATGTCCTACATATTGGTCTTGATGTTTGAAAGCTAACCAAGAAAATTTCAGAGGGTTACAATATTCCATGCTTGCTAGTTTTTATAATATCAGGAAGGACTTAGTTTGTGTCTTCTAAATTCCAGAAATATCAAATCCTGCTTTCAGAATTTTTTTTTGATTCAAAGGTATTCATTCTTACCTCGTTCTCTCACATTAAAAAAGTCAAATACATTTTAAGTTTATTCAGTCACACTACGGCTTCTCAGGTTGAGTTCCTAGATGGGGTCAACCTCACATTTTTCCTCAAGCTCATCCTCCTACAGTATTTTAAACATAGAAAATTTAGGAAGATATTTTTAACACATTGAGAACAATCTTTTTATCACAATTGGGATTAAAGATAGATCATATTTTATGCAATGGACACCCCACTAGAAAATTAAATAAAATAAAATAATAAAAGGAGCACAATATATATAATAGATAGAAGTGGAGTAGCTCTGCTTGACAAGGAGCAAGGGTGTCCAGGGTTCCACCCATTTAATGCCCTCTTCACTTGACCCTGCAGGTATCTGCACATGTGCTCATTGACTGTATGGAGCACTGGTTGGAAATAGTGATTGAGATGATTATTTACTTATGATTTTGAGTGGTTGCTGTAATAGGTAGGTAGATAGGTACATAAATACAGCATTGACGCATGGTACAAAATAGCAGTATTTTAAATAAAAAATTAAGGGAAAAATAAAAAGCTCTGTGCATGAACAGTATGCAGTTAATAAATTACAGGATGGAGGATGACAGGTAGGGAAAGATTTGGTCCTCTTGTGTGTTCATTTAAACAGAAGAACTAAGGAGAATTGCAAGCATTGTTGACTTCATGGATTAAAGTTATGCTGTGTATTGTTGGGAAAATACAATTAAAAACAAAATCTCCCTGCAACCTGGAAAATCTCTTCACAAAGATAAAAGAGAAAGAAAACAATTTTATTATTGAATAAGCATTAAACCAGAATGTGATATACATCACAGTCAAATCACTAAGAGATTGCAAAGACAAAGAAATTTCACCTCTTTATATAGCCAAGCCCATTTCATACATGTGCTCAAGATGACTAACTAGTCCTTAAGTAATAGGATGTGAGGACACCATTTATCACACATAGTTCAACCTAGATTCACCTAGTAATTGGCTTTATACAAATAAAAGTACAATTTCTCATATTTTCATGACAGGAGGCAGTTTTGCAGCTTGGAACAAGGCATCCACCAAAGTTAGGCTCCTACTCGCCCAAAGAAAGTGGGAGTTAGGGCCGGCCCGTGGCTTACTTGGGAGAGTGTGGTGCTGATATCACCAAGGCCGCGGGTTCGGATCCTATATAGGGATGGCCGGTGCGCTCACTGGCTGAGCGTGGTGCAGGCAACGCTGTGCCAAGGGTTACGATCCCCTTACCGGTCAAAAAAAAAAAAAAAAAGTTGGAGTTAGAGGGGGTATCTCCTTTGATGTTTGCATTTCAAAGAGATGGGCTCCCAGGTCCTTGATAAAGACATCTCTGGGTCAGAAAGCTGACAAAAGCTCATTTAGTTTTCTAAAGAATTCATAATACATTTTAAAGAGAGGAGAAAGTGCTTATAATGACAAGTTATCTCAAGTAAATGATCTAAGATGTGGGAGGGAGGCGAAGTCTCTTTCCTTTTTAACAGGGAGAATTAAGTCTTTTATTTTTAATTTTCATTTGTTCTTATAATGTAGGAGGTCTAAAAAGAATGTATATTCATCTTGTATGACTTTCTTTCTTCATTTGTCCTTTATTTCTCCCAAAGCATTTTCGAAATAAAAAAATTTAAAATTGCTTTAAAATATTTCAGACTAGCAGCAATACAGATGTATCCAAGTGACAGCTCTTCTGTAATATTTTTATATTACTTACTATACCTACTCCTGGTAATTATGGTTGTAAACTTTATCTCCTCTTAATCATGTTCCTGTTTTTTTATGTTGAAAATTATTTTAAACTGCTTCCTGCATACGTAGTTTTTTTTTTTAAATGCCTTACTTAGTAAATTTTTATTAAATGAAAAGTGCTCTCAGACATTGAAGGAAAAAATGAAACTGTGAATTAAACAAAGGCCATTTATTAGCCATCTGAATGGTTGCTATTTATCGATATGCCAAGTATGCACCAGGCATACAAAATCAAAAGGAATAAAACTACTGTCTTCACAGAATACATTGTTTTATAGGTGATAGTCAGTGCACACTTATATGACATTGGGTTAAATGGTGCGAAATAGTCTATGTAGAAGAGCTTCAGTAAAAAGATGGGTTTATAGTCTAATAGGGATTGAATAATGTATGCACAAAAACTTTCATGTGTGTTTGAAAAAATAAAGGGGGAAGACATTTAAAGTGTGAGTTTAGGATAGATATAGCAAGTCTTAAAATTCCATATTTACCTTTATTGTTGGGGAATACAGCAGAGACACCTTTAAAATTATTTTCTGGCAGTTATGTTGAAAATTATTTTAAACTGCTTCCTGCATACGTAGTTTTTTTTTTTTTTAAATGCCTTACTTACTAAATTTTTATTAAATGAAAAGTGCTCTCAGACATTGAAGGAAAAAATGAAACTGTGAATTAAACAAAGGCCATTTATTAGCCATCTGAATGGTTACTATTTATCGATATGCCAAGTATGAACCAGGCATACAAAATCAAAAGGAATAAAACTACTGTCTTCACAGAATACATTCTGTTTTATAGGTGATAGTCAGTGCACACTTATATGACATTGGGTTAAATGGTGCGAAATAGTCTCTGTAGAAGAGCTTCAGTAAAAAGATGGGTTTATAGTCCAATAGGGATTGAATAATGTATGCACAAAAACTTTCATGTGTGTTTGAAAAAATAAAGGGGGAAGACATTTAAAGTGTGAGTTTAGGATAAATATAGCAAGCCTTAAAATTCCATATTTACCTTTATTGTTGGGGAATACAGCAGAGACACCTTTAAAATTATTTTCTGGCAGTATGATCAGTGGTTGCAATGAAATATAGTATCTCAGAAAGTTTTAAGTTTTCTAAGCAGTTAATAACATATTAGGGCTAAATGTCAATTGTCCTTACTCTTAGCCCTGCTTCATAGACACCGCACCACAGAAGAATTTACTCATCTTCTGAAACGGGTTTTGGTGGTGAGGATCAAGAAGCAGTTTAGAAGACTCAAAATATGAGATTCCTGAGTTTCAATATAAGGATGTAGAGAAAAATCACTTAGGAGATGAACTAGCTTCTGTTACCAGAATTTAGTTTCTCTAAAATCAGACATGCCACCTCCCTACTTAAAACATTCAGTATGTCCTCATTGCTTTTCATCCAAGAACCCTAGCATTAGTTGTAAGGCCCCTCCTCATCTGTGTGCTTTGCCCTTCATCCCACACCTCTTGCATCACTATCCTCAACTTTCAATATATATTCTAGCTATTACCAGACTGGTTGCAATTCACTGAATTTTACAGTGCTTGGTCTTGCCCCATAACATTCTCTTATGCTGCTACCTCTTTCTAGAATGGCATGTGTTAACTCCTTTATCCAGAGGATAACTCCCACGCATGCTTCAAGATTTAGGATAGGTGAAATATTCTGGAAAGCATTCCTTGTCTTCTTTCTGTAAAAACTAATTGAGATCCCTTTCGTAGGTATTTCCATAGCATTCTGTTTTCCTACACTGTCACACTTTATTATGACTGATTACTTGTCACCTCAACTGTAAAAGAAGCACCTTAAAGGCAGAGTCCCTTTTTGTTCTCTAAATTTTTAAGCCTTACCACTCCATGGAAAATCGGTAGTACTTATTATACATGTGTTTAGATGGATAGATGGATGGATGGATGACTTTATATAACATGTAAAGAAATAATCCAGTTAGTGTTCATTAAATGACAGAAGACAGACTTTCAAAAAATGAATTAACATACTATATTCAAAAGTTATCTATTGATTTATTAAAGTGTCTTTGCTATGAGTAACTTAGATTCTGAAATTTAAAAAATGTGAATTCAATGTATTTCGTTTTATGCTGGCTTATTTCAGATGTATTAAGTTTCTTAAGCATACGGAACTTGGGGTATTGAAATGCGCAATATGATTGAATGTTGTCACTCACTGGTTTTACTTTATTTTTTTTTGTGACTTTTCTCTGTTGGTTTCTATTATTTTTCAGGAAAAAATGCTATTACACTGACCGGAAGAGCAAATCAATGGGCAGGTTGGTGGGTGATGCATAATTTTTTTTATGATCAATTTGACATTTGGAAAAAAAAGATAAAGAAGACATCCGATTACCCATATCAGCAGTTGTAAATTTTAGGAAGAAAAAATCAATTGATTAAGACATTTCCAAAACAACTTACGGCAAATTGAACAGTGTTTAAAATCAAATATCCTCTTTGTTACTATTTACCATTGCCATTCCTGGAAGCCTCCCATGACATCATATTATGGAAGTAGGATTTTAATTGCAACTTAGCATTTTAAGAGATTTTAATTTTAAAAGTACATATAAAACCAGGATCGATGGGTAAATGATGACTCTCTTAGAGTAACAGAACAGTAGATCAAACAAAGACCTTCTGGATCATTCAACCCAATTCAATTTGACAGAAGTGGTAAAGACTGGTGTCCAGAGTGATGAAGTGGTTTACCAAGGCCATAGATAGAGCATCTTTTGAATTGCAGACTCACAGTAATTCTACCAGCTGCCTCTCTTCCTAGTATTGAAAATTAATTTCTTTTCAAGAACTTCACCTCAAAACACCCACTCTTTACCTATTGTGGTAAGAGCATCTGCTGAATTCCCTTGACATTGTTTAACTGGAGGAAATGAGCTTCCATTTAATGAATGTTCAAACAAAAGGCTTCTTATTCTTGGCTATTTTCCTGTTCATCGCAAAAGAATTAATTAACAAAGGCAAAACATGTGAATGTGGTAGAGTATGCTCTATTGAATAATGTTGCAGGATATTACAAGTCATAATGACACAGAACCTAGAAAACCATATAGTGTGAATAACAGACATTTTAGGAAAGGATTCAATAAATCTAGTTCCTTTGCCAAAGAAAATTGCTGAACATAATTTTGAACTTTCTAAATCATAATAGGAGAGTGTTGGTCTCTTTTAAACATTAAATTCAGGTGCAGTAGTATTAAGTGATGAGAAAAGTAAATCATGGAGAAAAAAACTTGAAATTAGGATGAATATTTAAAATATTTGTACTAAAATGGCTTTTATTTGTTGTTTCAAATAAACGATGCTCCTCAGCCTAATTAGATTTTCCTATAAGGTTAAAATACTCTGATTTAGAATGAGCTCTCATCGATTGCCATGTGGTTATTCGGTCCTGGTCTATGCAGCAAATCTCCCAATTAATTTTTACGTAATAACATCAAAGTCGTTGGAATATTTTGTATAGATTTACAGCTGCAGGTTGTCCTTGTTTTGCTCTGCATATGCCTGCTAAATGTTGGATGGTTGATTAAATCTCTTGAGTGCAACTCAGTGCATTTTTATAGAATTAGGGAGACTTTGCTACTATATAGCTAGTGGGTTTTCTGTTAAATGTTCATCTTTCAGAGACTTGCCAAAAGGTTAAAATCCTATATATTAAAATCACAACAAATATCCATTTATATGAAACTATCATAATTTAGTTTTTAGAGTAAACTTGTGTTTAGAATGCATAATGAATATGTATATATTAAATTGTAAAGAAACAACAATTTTAATAATGGAAAAAATTTGTTTTTTCTTTTGGTCAAACTTAAAGGTAAACTAGAAAAATGAACACTATATCATCTGTTGTAATATGTTTTATTATCTTTTATATTTGTTATTTTCTGTTTAAATTCATGAAATGAAAATTCAGTTATCAATTATTTCAGATGATTATTAAAGTATCTTGAACCTTACTGTAGCCTACCCATTTACATTAAATTTATTACAAATAGTTCTCTTTGTTCCTGGGCTTTGTGGATGCATGTGAGGAGAGGTGGGCAATAAATAGGAAAGGAATGTATGAAATTATGTGATGTACGGAACTGGAAAAAAAGGAATGTCACACGTTTGAGTTGAGACGTTCAGTTAAGGAAATGACTGATTCGAATTTTTTTTTTTTAATTTTAAGTTTGGATAAGAAAATTTAAACACTGTTTGTGGGGATTGGGAGGTGGTGTATGGTCACTATTGATACAGAGTTTGACCCTTTAATCCAGATTTATTTTCAATTTTCATAGAATTCTTTTAGCTTTCCCCTGATTTAAGCATAGGAACTCAAATCTCTACTAGAAGTCATCTGCACAGTATGCCACAAAATCTTTAGTTTGCAAGATGTCCAACACGGTAAAGTTTTGATGGAATGCGGATAACGTGTCAGATTATGTTGGTGACATGGACGTGGTGGTTGCAGCAGTAGAAATGTAATAATAGTACTCCTTTTCCTCATTGTTATCATAAACATTTGAGTGCTTACCATGTGCTGTGCCCTGTGGTGTCAGACATTATCCACTTAGTTCTCAAGATATTTTTTCACTTAAGAAATGAGAAAACAGAGCAAGGCTGAAATAAGCTAATAAGCTAGATCCTTGCATCCTAGTATTCAAACCCAGGCCTGACCACGTGGATTTTACCATCAGACAGCATTTACTCCTTCACAGGAGGGGTGTGTGAAAAGCCTAAACTGATAATATTATTTATTCTCTGTTAACGACCTAAGTGGTGGTGTGATAGTACTTGTATTTTATTTATTTTTTAAAAATTTAAAAATTCACAGACATAACAGGGCCTTGGGTGCTATAGTCCATCTGCATTTTCTAAGTACATTAAGAATGCCTCCTTTTATTTGATCCTCCTAGCCACCTAATGAAGTAGGACAGATGGAATTACTTCTCTTTAGAAATGAGGAGCCTGAAGCTCAAAGATTGGAAATGCTTAGCTCAATTCAATGACTGGCAATTTCAGCACTAGAAAACTTATCTTCTGATTCCTATCCCATTGCTTTTTGCCAACTATGCTAAATTTAAAAAGCCAGAGTAAATGCTCCATAACTTATTCAATGTTTTCTACCTGTCTGTACCCTGGCACTTGGGGTATGGTGTAATTTTGTGACTTTAGAGGTTTTCTTTACAATGAGAGGAAGCAAATGATCACCTCAGATACTGCTTATTTATTATTTTAGGCTAGAAAAAAATGCTCCCCCCCCCCCACCAAAAGCAAAAATAACTCAGCATCTAAATGATAGTGTTACTTGGCCAAAAAAAGATTCAAATTTTTCACTGCTAAACTTTTCAGCAGGATTTGATTCTTATTTCAAATTACACAGAGTAATTTTACCATAATAGACTTGGATGAAATAATTGCTAACATACAATATTAGCTGCCTGCCATTGCTGTACTAAATTTTTCTGAAGTTCAAGCAGAATTGGCCAAACAAATATTGAGATGTGTTGTGCTTGTCTGTTAAAATATTCTGTGCTGCTATTTTGACTTACTACTACAGAAGAAGCCGACAATTGCTCTAGATAGAAACTCATAGTTTGTAAATATTGCATGTGTTTTTAGTATACGCAGCTGTTATCACAGTACCTCAGAAGTTACATTTTCCGGCCGACTCCGTGGCACACTCGGGAGAGTGCAGCGCTGGGAGTGCAGCGCCGCTCCTGCCGTGGGTTCGGATCCTATATAGGAATGGCCGGTGCACTCGACACCAAGCCAAGGGTTGCGATCCCCTTACCGGTCACGAAAAAGACAAAAAAAAAAAAAAAAA